AAAAAAAAAAAAAAAAAAAAAGAAAAAAGGCTAGGATGTTTCTACACTGCAACCCCAGAGGAAAGGCTGTGGCTTGTGCACACCCAGCCAGCTGTAGACCTGGTAGCAGTTTGACTGTAACTCAGTCTTTTGACTGTAACTGTGCTCAGTGCAGTCAGAGAGGACTAGATGGGGCACAGTCATACCTCCGGACTCAGATGTGCCCAAAGGAAAAGTAAAGGCTCTCGCTATGCCTCCTTGAAAGGCAGCTGACAGAGCAAAGTTTGTATCTTTACATTGGGAAGTCTATAGGTATAGATGGATGTACGTGAGATTGCCCAATTGGCATCGTTCAAAATAGCTCAAGACACCCAGAGCTGTCATTATTCAGAAAAGAAAAAAATGTCACCACCAGATTAACACTAGAGAAGAGTAAAAAACAAAGACCAAGAGCAAATAATTAAGGCTCAGTTTCTCATTATTTTAAAAAAAACAACCCTACTCATTCCATCTCCAGTTTCTCTTACTTGTTTCTTCCATACAATGTTAGAACTAATCTAAGAACACATGTGCAGTTCCAACAGCAGGCCTGAAATAAAACACACACGCTCTAAAAAGCTTTAAAATAATTACCTCCTCCTTCTCCACCAGAGGTTTCACCTCTGCAAGGTGAGCATCCTGGAACTCTGTTGACATGGTCAGTAGCTGATATCTGCAAAGATGAAAAAAAGGTTTGTTCTCAGCTTGCATCAAAGATTAAATACAGGAACAAATAAAGATCCTGCTCCACCCAACTCCCCCGCCAATGACCCACTGTCTCAGGTTATAGTTTAAAAGACCTTTGCAAGAAGGTTATGAATCTCTTGTAAAATGCCTCCCTGGTTTATTTATGTACACACGCCTGCACAATACGAGATCAAATAAATATTAAGGCTGCAAGATCAAACAAAAGTTTGGCAGCTTCAAAACAGGGAATGCTGAAGGAAACAGGGCAGGGACCAGTACAGAATGAGTCATGGAAACTGTCATTTCACAGGTGAAAGGACACATAGCCAAATCTGTGCAACCAGCTTCTCAAAGTAGCTTGAATACTTGTCTCTGATTTTTCCCTTCTTTTCCCTCTTTTTTTTTTGATGCAGGCTCCCTCTCCATACTGTAAGAAAACTGAACTGGACACTCATTAGCATCATTTTACTCTCAGATCAATGTGCTCCACTTTGGGACAGAAACACCTTCCTTGATCTGAACAAACAAACAGTACCAAGTAAAACAGATATTCTTTAAGTGGACACCAACAAGGTGCATGCAATAACGCTATTTTCAAAACTTTCAAAGTAAGGAACAAGATTTCTGTATCCTGGTCTAGGAAAGGACCAGCATTGCAATACCCAGCCCTCATCTGCGGGAAGCTTAACTGGGAACACTGGTACAGCCAAACCCCAGAAGAGGTGACTGCCGAGGCAGATGGAGCAGCAGGCTGTGCTGCAGGAGCAGTGCGCCTTTTGCATTTGGACCAACAGGCATCTAAGTTCAGCAACCATATCAGTCCAAACCAGGAGTTAAAAAGAACGGCATATTTTCATTCTCTTGACAAAGATAAGGTGCCAGAGGGCTGTTCCCTGCGAAGCTCTAATGAATGGCCAGAAATGGTTCTCAAAAGAGATACCAGAACTGTTTTAACAACAAGATGACAAATACGAAAGTCAAAGTATGTTTGTTACATATCCTCTGGCCTGCTGGAGAAATTAGTATCATGTGAGTTTTGGGCATCTTTGAACAAAATTGGAAATTTATTAACTACACAACTGTAAAACAAATCAATTATTTACTTTTTAAGAAAAGTTTAGAACTGTCTCAAGTGAAGCGTATGAGTAAGTGTACTCATAAAGCAATCCAAAAGGCTGAAACACATTTAGGAATTATTGACTGAGTATAACTGCAAACATTTTGATTATTAACAGTTTTCCTGAAGATAAGCACAAAACTACAGAACAAAATTTAAATTGATTCTTGAAACCATGGTTCCCACCTCCTGCCTTAAATCTGATTTAATCCAATCAACCCTGTCTACATAAACGACCTGGTGCTCAAGAAGGGCTGTGAAGCCCACGGAAGTAACCAGGAGCTGGCAGGGGCAGCAGCATCATTTTTACTCTGCCTCATGGGTTAACTTGATGCACTTTTCCCTGGGCAAAGATGCTCTAGTGAGAAAGTTTGCAAGACGGCTGGATGCTGCAGGAAGCTATGAAGTGGCACATACAGATTAAGTAAGTTAATGCTGAAAAAACGCTGGTGTCCATGCATGTGCAAACAGCTTCAGATTTTAGGAACCCTTCTTGCTAGCTATGCAATTGGGTGGATTTTTGGTAAAGAATTAGACCGGGGGTTTTAAGCTAGAGAAATGCTTCATGAATATTTAACCCCACCACTTCAGGCATGGGGACAGGAACAAAACCCCATTGACAGTAACTTGTAATCCAAATTTACAGCAAGGCGACGGAGATACTTAGTCAGAAGAGTCAAGACAGAGTTAATTCCCCACAAGTCACTCCAATTCACCCTCCTCCAGGTTTTCCAGTAAGTTTTGCCTGTTACAGATTTTAATCATAAAGAACAAGCAAAAACCAAGTTTCCCAAAATTTCAAGCAACTGCAAGTGACATTTTAGAAATAGTGTTACATATTTTCATAATTACGGCCATCTATGTAATCTGCCACTCTACACAGTGAGCAATTGTGCATGGCAGAGAGGGAAAATAAATGCTGCTGAAATATTTGGAGGTCAAAAATATTTACATGTAATTGCACATAACTTAAATGGCTTTTTTTTTTTTGCAATTCAGCAAATTCTGTTGAGACAGAAATAGCACCTTAATGTTGCAGAATTAGGTGCAATAGGTACTAGAAGTGCAAGAGATTTTTCCATGTTTTGCCTATAGGGGAGGAAAGTAAGCAGCCAGGTCCCCTGCAGTTTTCCAGTAAGAAGTGGCTCAGGGAACAAAGCCACAGTTAGTGTTTGTGGAAGAAAAGTTGTTTACATGGGATAGTTTCAGGTTTTCAGGGACTCTGAGCATTGACTACAAATGACCAAAAAAACTTTGCCAAAAAGAACAAGATGGATGCCTTTTATAGCCTTAAAAAACAATCCTGTTTTCATAATAGTTCAAAGTTGTTGCTCGATGTTTCCGAAAGAAGTGCTGACCAGCAGATTACACGACTGCCATAAAGTCTGCTGAACAAAAGCCCAACGTGTACCAAGTTCTCACTTTTGGAAAGATACCAGATCTTGGAGACACATAATGTTTTCAGATCAGGCATTTCCAAGCTCTGGGGTTTCCTTCTCTGCATCAGGAATACCTGAAACATTCCTATGAAGAAACAACCTTGTGATAAGGTGGCACAACAACACGATATTTGTTCACGAGAGCTAGCAAACAAAGCCCCACTATCTGACAGCACCGTAAAAAACATCTTATTTTCCAAAGAGAAAGATGCTGGGGAAGTGGTTTTGTACCACCCATGTTCAGCACAAATTTTATAATCTCTAAATAGGTGCTTTGTGCCCCCCCCCTTACATGACAGGGTAGCTCAAACCTAATGTAACTGCATAACTCTCATACATAGATAACCATACAAGCATTCCTTTATACACATTTCAAAGCACTTGCCTCACAGAAGTCTTCAAAAGACAAAGTTCATTTCTGCAAGCAGCAGTGTAAAGTTGCCACCTTGGAGAAAAACAACTTTTTTTTCACTCCACTTGGCCGATTCAGCCTGCTAAGAGGTCCCACGTTCCCCTCCCTGGGCCAAGCCACCTCCACCCAGTGTACACCCACCACCCTGCACCCAGATAATCAGTTGCAATTGCTGTTCAGATGAATAAGTTTCAAAACAACCATACTTCTAACCAAGAAAAAAATAAAGGTTTAAGGCACCTTTACAGCTGGCAAAGTGCTTTAAAACTGATCACATCTACCTTTGCCAACTAGCAGGAAAGGCATCAAACCAACATCTACGAAGCAAGGGAGGCGTGGGGAACGGTGAAGTCATCTGTGCAACACTGTGTTCACTAATTTATTTCAAAGAGGTTTTTATGTACCCATTCCAGCCCAAACCCACTGCTCCAAAACCACCAGAGCAAGTGTCATAACCAAGGCTAGTAGCTCAGGAATCATTTTACTGAGCCTGGTTCTATTACTCTTAAATGTTCAGAATATATCCCCTGCCCCTCTGCATCATTGCTGGAGGGACAGTCATTGCTGGAGCCTTGTTTTGGCAGCAGGGGGTACAGCATGGATGTGCAGCCTAGCTTTGCACAACAGGGATCCCAACAAAGGAGGTAAGAAGCCACACATCAGGCCATCCATCCTCAGACACCAGCAATGTTGCAATCATAAGTACCAAACATTAGGTAATCCTAATATACGTGACTGAATTTATTCCAAGCACAGAAGTGAAACAAGTTCAAAGATCCCTCATTTCAAACTTTATTCTTCTGAAGACACACATATGGTTGTCCAAATTTGTGCCATGGGGTGCATCATCAAGTGTGATGGTCTCACGTCCATGAAGGGCTAAGGGAACTGCTACCAGCACTACAGGATTTACCTCTGCCCTCACACCCAACTGTTTTTTATTTACATGCTATCATGGAAAACAAAGAACAGGAAAAGGCTCCTGCCTGAGCATTTCGTAAAGAAGGCAATTTCCTCAAAACAGCTTGTTTCAACACTGGCAGCAGAGATTATTCTCCTTTTGACTACTGATACACAGAAGGGTAACCTCACCAGAGCAGCCTGATGGCATTTCCATCTTTGCAGGCTGAGCAAGCAGGAGGGACAGCAATCACTTCACACATGGAATTAAATACTCATGAGTGTCTAATGGCAAAGAGAGGAGGGAGAAGGCCATGGGCGCTGACGGACAAAGCTCCCAAGCACTGGTGTTGCTCTTTGGAGAGGGGGACCACATGAGACTTGGGCTCCAGGGCCACACATGGGAGGTGTTTCCAAGCCAGGCACATCCACATCCACAAGCACAGCCACTTTACCCCTTGAAAGCCACCAAGTGCCTTCAGATCTCAGGCACCAAAGCAGGTAGGAAGAACAGGGGTAGCAATCTGAGGCTTTGTGCATCTGCAGCAGCTCAAAGCACTATTAAAGAAGCTGGCATGAGGCAAGGATGGAGAGAACTAAGATGTCTCCAGAGCTCTGCAGAAGTTCATTAGCAAAGATCCCCATCAGTTCCAGGTCAGAAAAATAACCAAGCAGCTCAGGCCTCTGACAGTGAAGCAAGGAAAGTTACTGTGATGCTCAAACAGCATTTGAGCCTTACATACAGTCAGTTAGACCTCTTCCAGTCATTAACAGTAAATGCTGTAAAATAGTTTGGCTCTAAAATAAAAAATGATGGTTACTGTGAACTGGAGGGCAGCTTAAGAGACTTGTCTCCACTAAACAGAGACAAGTGGACATCAGTTAATAGCACCCACGTATGGTTATAGTCCACAATGTGTACTGTCATTAAGTGCAGTTTACATTTCAGATAATTTACAATAAACTTGACAAATCTAATCTTCCTGTTTGTGATTAATTTCAAAGTTACTCATTTTGCAAGCATCCAAAACAGCTCACACATAAGCATCTGCCCACACCATGCCCTGTTTAAGCTACTCTGTTACGGGCACGGGTGTCACAAGGTCCTTTGTGTAC